CTTCTGCATACCTTGGTTGTAAGAGTGGTTATTTGAGTTACTGTTGCCTCTCTATCAGCTGGAACCAGTCTAGCCATTCTCCTCTAACCTCTGGCATCAACAAGGCAATTGTGCCCACAGAGCACCACATAGCTTGTAGGGTTGTGCTATATGTAACAGAATGTGTGTATTTATAAAGTGCATTTAGCATGTATGGCCATACATCCAAAGTACATCACAATCATGAGGGGGGTCTCTCCACACCACCACCAGTGTGCAGCATCCGCAGGACAAAAGTTTACTATAGGAGGAGTGGAGAGACAGTGAGAGAGACAGTTCGGTGGTTGAGGATGTTTTCCTCCCCTATTCTTTACAAGAAGTGCCATGGGATTTTTAATGACTACAGAAAGTCAGGACATTGGTTTAACGTCTCATTGAAAAGACGGCGATCACTTACAGTAATGTGTCCCCTTCATTATACTGGGGGCATTAGGACTCACACACTCCGCAGTTTGAGCTCCCCCCTGCTGGCCTCTCTAACACCACTTCCAACAGCAACCTAGTTTTTCCATGTGGTCCCCCATATCCAGGTACTGATCAGGCTTATCCCTGCTTATCTTCAATGAGTAACCACTCTTAGGCTGCAGGGTGATATGGCTGTGGCAAAAACAAAACAAACAAAAAACAAAGACAAATAATCAAACCTCTGTATTTTTTGGCTGAACTGTATTTTATGTTTGGATTAAAAAAAAAAATCAGTATTTGCTTTACATTTTCTTTACATCCTGCCCAATTTTGTCCAATAAATCACAGTAATTCAAGACTATAAAAACAAATACAGCGTATTTAACCATGTGGACATCAGCTTTCATTACCCCTACACTGTATATATACCATGTAGTCACTTTATAGTCATCGATATCATAAAAATAAACTTATATGGTTTAAAAATCTGTCTGTCTGTCTGTCCATCTGTCTGTCTGTAAATATCATAATAATTATGATTATATGATATTTCTGTCTGTCCATCTTGTTCTGTGTTTTCTGTACGATATGCTGCATGTACAGTACAAGAACATATGAGTCTTTATCTGCTCCATATGTGAAATGTGGAACTGATTTCAGGCTCATTTACCAGAAAGTATGGTGAAAAAGGGGGAGAAAAAAAAAGTCTTGGTCAGAAATGCATCTCTGCTGTGGCCTGTGTGAGATTATGTCACGTTATAAAGCCTGCCGGCGCTCGGCTGTCTGATGAATGGACAGAAAGTGAGAGAGAGAGAGAAAGACAGAGCCAAAAACAACAGAGACTCCATCACACACTCACTCATGGATGATGCCAGACTGCAGCGACAGAGCGAATAACCTGCTAAAGAACACCGAAAACATGTCAGAAAGCTTAAATTAAGGTGTTTGCTTTAAAAAGCCATTCATATTTTAACACAGACAGGAACACACATTGACTGAGCGCAACATCATGTATGGAAATACATTTTAAAGACTAAAATATTGTAGACGGCCAACTTTATATTTGTCGTAACTCTGGGTGTTTAAGTAGTGTTAACCCTCATCCAAGAAGCGTTCAAGAGAGTGGAAAGAAAATGTGTGGAGAGGTCAGAACCAATCCTGAGGGAGTTCAGGCTCGAAACTTAGTACATTTTCTGAAATCTGAACAACTTTATGGACTATATGGGATGTATTTTTCCACCGCTTTCTTGACGATGTTCTCTGTTTTTTGCTGAATGGTTTTAAATTGGTGACTTCATTTTTCACAAATCATCAAGAGTTTTCAATTAGTTTCATTTAGTTGATTCAGATGTTTGGATCAGACTGACCATAAGCTGAGCGCTGGCCTGAGGCGGTGGAAAAGAGCCAGTAATCAGAGTGTTTTCAGTTCAAGACCCAGCCAGTGGGACTAATGATCTGGATACTGGCTTTTGACTGCTTGAAATATGGCCGTCACAGACTACTGAAAAACTGACCTTGACAAAGGTGAACACTCCACTTAAAAAAAAGGGCTCATTTTACAACTCCCCTAGAGTTAAACTGCTGTTTCACCATACCATTATTCTCCGAGTCTGGCGGGAGCACTTTTAGCTTAGCTTAGCATAGAGCATTGAATTGGATTAGACCATTAGCATCACGCTGAAAAAAGCAAAGAGTTTTGGCAATTGTCCTATTTAAAGCTTGACTCTTTCAGAGTTATGTTGTATTAAAAAACTGGCTTGCTTGGTTTGGGACTTATGAAGCTGTGCATCAATGGATTTGCTCTTCAGAGTTTGAACTTTTAGCTTTGAAATTTAAACCACACTGAACTGAACTAAACTGAACTTACATGGTTTCATTTTACTAGAACTTCTATGTTAAGCTGCTTTAACACCATCTACATAGTAAAAGTGCTATAGAAATAAACATGAACTGAATTGAAAATAGTCCCCAGCTATAGGTTACTCTACAGCAGGGGTGCTCAATCCTGTTCCTGGAGATCCACCTTCCTGCAGATTTCAGTTGTTACCCATATCAAACACATCTGAACCAATTAATTAGCACCTGAACACCACATGATAATTACAGGCAGGTGTGTTTGATATGGGTAGCAACTGAAATCTGCAGGAAGGTAGATCTCCAGGAACAGGGTTGAGCACCCCTGCTTTACAGGTTCCTGCAAATGTCCCTATGGTTGTAAGGCATGCTCCCTGTTAGGGCTGCACGAAACTGGAAAAATGTGACATTTCGTTACTGATATTTCTTACAATATAAATTTCCCTCGAAAACTGCCATTTTTATTAGTTATATTTTTAAATAATTTATTTAATGATAATAAAATAAATAAAATAATTCTAATTCAGACTAAAAACTGTCAAGGTGCAAAGATTTAGTCATTAAAATACAATGAATAAGTGAAAACCTTTGCAGATATTCTGACTCAGACTTTCCTCGTCTCGAAACCTGTCATTAGTGTTTATTTTCAGCTCTTGGTTGACTTTTGAGCTGCTCCAGCTAATAGCAAAACAGCTACTACTGGGGAGGTGGGGATAAAGATAGTAAGGCCCCATCTGATTGGTCAATTTTTGATAAACAACCAAAGCATAAAATAAATGTAATTGATCACACTTCTGCGATAAGTAAATTGCATATATTACTATTGCACTAACAATAATTTTGCAATATATTGTGCACATTAGTGGAAAGAGTACTAAAAAATCATACCTAAGTAAAAGTACCATTACTCACCAAAAAATGTAGTACAAGTAGAGTAACAGTATCTGTTATAAATATTACTCAAAGTATGAGTAAAAAGTAGCCCTTTAAAAGTACTCAAGAGTAGTGAGTATTACGATGTGAACGGCTCATGCGTTTACATGCAATTCATGCATGGATGTGTAAACGTAACATTCTGTAGTGCATTTGTAATCGTTTAAGGGCATTTGGTGGTTTCATTTCCTCATACAGTAAATATCCATCTTCTCATCAGTGACATGCAGTCGATAAAGTCTCTCGATTATTGCTTGTAAAGATTTTGGACATCTTCTTGGACATTTTTAATGCTTCCAAACGGTTTGTTGCATTTATGAGGAGCCAGTGTCTTGCGGTTGTTCTGTATGATGTGATTTACATTCTACTTTAGCCAATCACCACAGACAAGAAAATAAAGTAGTGACCACTGGTAGAAGAAACTTAAAACTACCTAGTAAATTACAACTCCTGAGACAAACTACTCCATTAGAGTAATTTGAGTATTTGTAATTTGTTGCTCTACACCACTGACTGTTATAATCCCTGTGCAAGCAAGTGGTCAAATTGTTCATAATGGTGGAATTTAGCCAATTTTCATGTGTTGTGTAATATCACTGTGCCGTCTGCACCCATGGTAAGGCAGCAAAGTTCCTTGATTGTTACATCAGAATTCGGGTATAGTGTTCTAGGTTTAAATTGACCTAGAAAAGAGCAACTTTTCATTTCCAGCCGTTCTTAATACATAATGTAAATACAAGTAGGATTGTTTTCTCTTTGGTCATTTTTAAGCAAGATGCTAATGGTCTAATAAGATTTAATGACCTATGCTAAGCTAGGTGTCATATATTGCAGGCGTTTATATACTGCAACTATTATTTGAGGTGCTTCTTTTATTCTCACTTGTAAGTAGCTCAAAATAAAAGTGTCTGCTAATTGAATAAATTGAAGTTACAGTGCTCAGCATAATTGAGTACACCCTGTTTTGAAAATGAATATTTTTCTCCATTTCTCAGTGAATATAGGCAATGTATTTTGGTGCATTTAAACAAAACAGATTTTTAAAACAAATATATTTATTAAAATAATATTTTAGTCATCAAACATATTTAAAAATTGAAAGATAATACAATTAAATTCAAGCAAAATATTGCAAAAAAATCACAATCTACAAAATTTCAACTCAATTTTTCCTTTTTTTTTTTTTTTGCTTCTCTTGATTTTTCCTATTTTTAAAAATTTGTATTGAATTTTTTTCTATAACATAAAATTGGTTGTACTAGTTTTTAGACTGTTATTATAAGTTATTGTGTTAAATAAGCTCCAGATTTGGCTTACACTAATCTAATGTATATTATGCACAAATATAATAGCTTCCTATAGAAAATATTCATTTAAAAGAGAGATTTGTTAGGGGTGTACTTATATATGCTAAACACTGTAAAAGTTCTTCTGGCATACCTGGATATTGACTGAATGGTTGTGAAAACTGAAGTTTAGTGTTCCTTTAAAAACAATTTTTAGTCATTTAATATCATGGCTGGACCTAAACATTTCATTAATTAAAAACTTTTATAGCGAAACCTTTCAGTATAAAACAGATGGTTAACTTGCTGTTTGTAACTTGAGGTAAACTTTAACCACAGTCATACGCCTGAGCAAAACAAAAAAAAGAGGAAAGACTTGATGAATCTGAATCATCCAGTTTCACGTTTTCAAATTTGAAGAGTCATCAGATTGTTCAGTTTTCTCGACTGATGGAAGTGTTTTTGTTTGTTTTTTTGTCACAGGTTACGGACAGTATCATCTCTAAACAGACTTTACATGGTGAGTAGTCAGTCAGTCATTGTTATTTTTAACAATTGCTTTTATCACTACGACTGCAGAATGTACCGTGCTGGAAATACCCGGAACCATCAGACAGAAAAACATAATTCAACACAGTTCAAAGAAGTCATTAAAATCTCTTGTGCAATAGCAATTCATTTTTTATGGTGTATTTTGAATGTGCTGACTGTTTTCTGTCTGTCTGTCCTTCAGCAGCAAGAACACAAACTCATTCATATAATACAACAGGGTCAAAGTTTATGACCACAGTGATGCAGCGGCCATCAGCCCACCTGACCCTCAGCAGTGAGTCTGTTTGTATGTATGGCCGTGTGTGTGTGTGTGTGTGTGTGTGTGTGTGTGTGTGTGTGTGCCTGTTTATGTCTGTTTTTATGTTTTATCAATATATCAAGTTTACTGTCATTAACTTTTTCAGCAAACATTAGCATGAGTAAATTTGGCAAGAAATGTTGATAACAAATAGCAATGATAATGATAATAATAATAATAATAATCATAATAATAATAAATGACAACAGTAATTTTATATATATATATATATATATATATATATATATATATATATATATATATATAATGATGATGATTATGATGATGATAATGATAATTACAATAATAATACAAATAAGTTGTATTATTTATTATTATTATTGGCTGTGGTGTTATTTCAAAACTCAGTGCTTTATATTTTTATTTGCTGAAATAATAATAATAATAATAAAAAATATTTCAAAAATAAATATAATAACATGGTAACAATTGCAAAAAAAAGTCTATGAGCAATAAATATACTTAAAATAAAAAAATATTTTAATAACAAAAAATCCATCATGAAGCCATTATTATTGGTCATTGTTGTTGTTGTAGAAAATATTTGTGTGTTAAAATAATAATAAAAACGACAACAATAATAATAATAATAATAAAAACTAAAAATATTAATAGAATAAAATCGTAATAATAATAATAATAATTGTTATTGTTATTATTATTATTATTATTTGATTTTTTATTATTGATATTGGGTTGGTGTTATTTCAAAACTGAGTTAGATGCTTTATATTTATATTTGCTAAAATAATAATAACTAAAATATTAATAAAATAAATACAATAATAACAACAATTGCTTAATTGTTGAACATTTAATCATAAAGCTTAAGAGCAATTAAAATAAAAATAATAATAATTGGAATCTTTATTGTTATAGAAAGTATTTGTGTGTTAAAAATAATGATGATAATAATAATAATAATAACTAAAAACATTAAAAGAATGCAATAATAATAATATAATAATTTTTACATTTATAGATAATTTATCCATAAACTTAAGAGCAATAAACAAATAACAAGTTGATAATACATATGTGTATTATTATTGTTATTGCAAACCTGAGTTTGTTGCTGTTTTAAAATATTTTTGTATTTATATTTGTTGAAATAATAACAAAAAATATACTATATATGACAAATATTTAAAACTAATAGAACAAATAGAGTAAAATAACCTGAATACCCGCAAAATGTTTAAGCACTGAATCATCAAAGCAGTAAATAAATAATAAAACAAAATATTTCAGCCTGCGCTATACTTCATGGCTTCAGCCCAGGCTTGAGGAATCAACGCTAGCTGATGAAATTCAGCACCAGTTAAACAAAAAAAACTACATAGTGTAAAATGGGTTCTGACGTTTTTTCCACTTCAAGCTATGATTTCCTGTAGTCTGAGGATATCAAACATGTTTAACATGTTAAGTCGATATAACACATTTTTCATCTGTCTCCTATAATGATACGCAGGTGTTTTTGGAACAAAAAAGTAAAGTGTGTCTACTAGTCATTGAATGTATGGTGCCCGTTTCCCAAAGCCAGCAAGAGTCAGATACATACAATTTTAAATTCACTTCAGATTTTAAAACATATTTAGTGTCAGTACTGTAACCAATCCAATCACCTATCATGCACATAAATGAGCCATCCATCCTGCCACAGTATGTCTGGCAGACAGCTGCAAAGAAGAAACGGATTATAAAACAGCCTGAAATGATCGAGTTATTTAGCAGGAGCAGAAAAAATAAATATCACCAAACATCCTCAAATCTTGTCTGCTCCTTTGAAGTTCCACTATAGCTGCTCGGATCAAAGTCCTATTCATTTCATGCATGCCAGGAAACATAAAAAAAAGAAACATATTCAGTCACGCATCTCTAAAGGAAATGAAACCGAGTCAAACCAGCTTTGTTTCAGGGGAATAAGTGGTGAGGCTAATCCGTAATCTGCAAGGGAGAAGTTTTTTTGTTGTTATTCACCCATTATTCACAAACCTGTCTGCAGAGCGCTTAATGATGGATCACATACACACGCTGCAAAAACGGTTCACTTCTAAAAGTCTGCCTTTCGACTAACATCTATATTAACCAGCTTGAAAGCACTGGCTTTTTTTCCTTTTACACACACACACACACACACACATCTGTACTTCATATGCATTTTTTGATCTCTTTATCAATGTTTCTCAGACAAAAGGGCGCTCTTAAAAGTTTTGCTCAGCAGTAAATCAGAGAGCGAGCCTGGCGCGTTTATTGATCTGCTGTGAGGAATGTGGCTCATTGTGTTTGGAGGAACACGCCGCCTTCTCTTTCATTCTTCGATTTTTCAGTCTGTCCGTGATTTCCTCTCCTGCGCAGCCGTACCTTCCTGTTCAGATCTCTTTTGTACTCTTAGCACAATCCAGCCAATCCTTCATTCCTCCCTTTGCCTTGTGAATTATGCGCCGAGCCTCAAATCGCCACCTGCTCCTCGTCTTTCACATCTTCTTTTTTTACTACTGCTTTCATGGGCTTCGTCTTGAATTATTGGAGCTCATACTGTATATGGTTTAAGTCAACATGAAATCAAAGCTGTGCTTTTACTTCATGCACAATGCGTGATTTATCGATATCTTATCATAAGTTATGATTTTGTATATTTATAGATTTGTACCCAGGTCTAAGTTCCACAGGATAGGTTGTAATGATTTATAAAACATTAATCACTGGATGAGCTTAGGAGATCTTTGCATGGATATATATAGTATTACAGCAAACTATGGGAGTGTATTAGTGTATATTATTCATTCATTCTTTTACTTACCTTCGGCTAAGTTCCTTATTTATCAGGGGTCGCCACAACGGAATGAACCGCTAACTATTCCAGCATATGTTTTATGCAGTGAATGCCCTTCCAACCACAACCCAGTACTGGGAAACACCCATACAAACTCATTAACCCTACGGCCAATTTAGTTTATTCAATTCACCTATAGTGCATGTCTTTGGACTGGAGGAAACCCACATGAACACGGGGAGAACATGCAAACTCCACATTGAAATGCCAACTGGTTCAGCAGCGACCTTCTTGCTGTGGGACAAGAGTGCTAAGCACTGAGCTACCATACCACCTAGTGTACACTATATTAGCATTTGGAAAATTGAAAAATGTCTGTTTTTGTTTCACATTTTTCTTAGGTCACACTCTATTTTAAATGTAAAATCCACATTATTAAACGGATACCTGAAAATTTTAGCTCAATGAATTAGTGATTTGCTGTTTATTAAGAGTTAATAAGAATGTGTGTATGAGTGTTTCCCAGTGTTGGGTTGCAGCTGGAAGGGCATCGGCTGCGTAAAACATATGCTGGATAAGTTTTCTGTTCATTCCGCTGTGGTGACCCCTGATTAATAAAGGGACTAAGGCGAAAAGAAAATGAATGAATGAATGAATGAATGAATGAATGAATGAATGAATGTGAATATATATTATTGGTGGGCATAGATTAATTATTTTAATCTAGATTATTCTAGATTAAAATGGGTCATTAGAATTGTGCCAAAGGCATTCAGAATTTGTGTGCTACCCAAATGATAAGTCTTTGAGAGCGGGTTTCTCAAGCCAGATGGCGCATTGCACCAGGGGCTCATCTTCGGTTTCCAAAATGGATCAGAAACTGCTTGAGAAACTGTTCTAGTATGATAATTAGTGATGAAAATAAATGATGTTCAACACGATGTACTTGTGTTTACTAACTGTTTATTCACTTTAACATGAATTTTGAACTGTAAGCCTACATAAGCTCCAAACAGCGATTTTTGATCCCCCTAATTCTACTAAAGTCACAACTAAACTAAACAGAAATGAAATTAAGACATGTGGAGTATGCAGATATTAGTGAGATTATTGAAGTAAACACCACAACCAAACTATTACCGTTATGTAGGACTTTTCGCCATATTATCTGACAAGATACACACACATCACAAAACGCGGAAGTTTTTTTTCTTTCCATTTGGCGTGCATTATTAAATTCTGTAACACTCTCACCAGTCCTTACTCCTTATTTGCGTCTAATGCCCCAGTTTGTCACGGGCATGAATTAAATGTTCTTGAGTTAAAGTGAAACTGCCGAACTGCAGTTAAAGTCAGGCATCCTGTTGATTTGATTCAGAAGGGCACTTATTTGTCGGACGGCTCACCGGTCAGGTATACATCCGCGCTAAACTATCAATCTAAAGGTCATCATAACTTGCGTAGAACAGACCCAGCTCGCAACCCAACTTTGAGAATAGATTAACAGCGAAATTTTTTTTAATCACGCCATAAGAGTCTCATGTTAACGCCGATAAGGGCCCACCACTAATATATATATGACTGATAACTGATGAACTACAAATTGTCATGAAATTATCAATGTACACTTTAACATTTGTTAATATGGCATAATGTATACACAATGTTATCAAATTAATAATGTTCTTGAAAATTACTTTCAGTAAGCTTAGGTGATCCAAATGTAAAAATTGGGGAATTTAGCCTGCACACTTTTATGTATTTGTATCTAAACCTATCAATATAAAACAAGTTGCATTTTAATGCTAACCTGAAGTCTGCCTTTTTCCTCAGGTGCCTCCGACAACTCCAGGCCTCAGTCAGATATGCACCAGCCTCAGTTTGATCTGCACCAGTCCTGCCGTCACCCTGTGCACACCTGGGCCAACAAGAGCTTCGGTGCCCACCTCTACAACATGACTCTGACCAACGGACGCCTGCGTGTGCCCCAGGACGGCCGCTACTACCTGTACTCACAGGTGTACTTCCGCTACCCTTCTCCCAGCGACAGCGACCAGTCCAGCGTGAGCCACCAGCTCGTCCAGTGCATCTACAAGAAAACCTCCTACCTGAACCCCATCCAGCTGCTGAAGGGAGTGGGCACCAAATGCTGGGCTCCGGACGCAGAATACGCCCTGCACTCGGTGTACCAGGGTGGCCTGTTCGAGCTCCGAGCAGGCGATGAGGTCTTCGTGTCCGTCTCATCTCCCACAATGGTCTACGGCGAGGACTCTTCTAGCTACTTCGGGGCTTTCCGATTGGATCTGTAAGAGAGAAAATAGAGCGGGAGTATCATTTTGGCAGAGAAAAGTTTCGCTCAACATCCATCAACTTTCCTTTCTTTAAGACTGAATATGTGAATATGTGAAGGATGCAAGAGACATTTCGGTTATTTCTTTTTAAAGACAGAGGAATGTATGTATATTTCTACAAATCACATCAAAGATGTGAATCTTGGAAACGGTAGCAAAAACAAAACAGGAGAGACAGAAAGTGAATCTGTGCCAATGGTGGTTTTGACGTGCGAACTCCACTTGCTTGAAGGGAATATTTTTCGTGCGCCGCGGATCTTAAATGGCTTAAAAGCAGAGATATGAGAAGAAAATGATGACAGCGGGAATGTGGAGGAAAGAAAGATGAGATGGGAAATATGTGGCTCTACCAGCCTCAAAGGAGCATCCTGGCAGGCTACAGAATTCAACCCATCCTGTCGGACCTGCGGAGCAACATGCCCTGACATGAAAAGGACCTAAAAAACAAAACAGGCACACATAAACAAAGAGGAATTCAGGCTGCTGCATTGATTCTCATGCTCTTGCATATTTATGGCTTCCACAACATGGCGATAAGATTAAAACACATACGACACAAATCACTTTTACAGGTCTCCCTCTGCTGTCAGGCCCGGCAGGAAGAGACACGTGCTCTGGAGCTCACGCGGTCCTGGTCATACAAAAGGTTAAACAAACACTACGCTAAACGGTTTGTTGAAACGTCGCGCCCATATAATGCTTTGTCTTGAGCGACACACTTTTCTGATAAGTGGCGCTTCGTGCTTGTACATCCATCTGTTTTGTGTGTGTGTTGTGTGTGTGGTTCAACCTGTGTATATATTGTATTTAATTGAAAATAGATGAGGTTTGGAATTGAATGTACGAGCGTTTTGTTGTTCTCCTAATAAAAATCCCACAAAACCGAGCCTCCCGCTGTAAAGGTAAACCCCATGACGTTGTCCAAATGAAGCGGCGCTGTGAGTCTGATTTTCTGTGGAAAAATGGTTTGTTTGAAGGAGGAGAGGGCGGGGGTGATTTCTTTCCACTGTAAATGATCAAGTGTTGTCACAATGGTGTTTCTGAGAGCGAGCACAAACACTCGCTTGGGTTTCATTGTGGAGCACAAGCGTGTTTTCTTCTCGCTGGACTCTGCCCCAGTTTTTACTGATAAAGTCAGCGAGCTGAAGGGCCGCTGCCAAGATGTTGCCTTAAATCACATTATACTGCGAGAGCGATCGAGCCAAGCCAATGCTCTCTGTGGCATTTAGCTACGGGCTAGCTATAATGTTAGTTACAAAACTTCACTCCGTCTGACTCTCATCTGCAATTTGTCTGGATTAAAAAAGCGTGGACATTGATTTAATCCAGAAAGGGAGAGCGAGTTATGCTTCAGCAGGTTAATGCTTTTGCTGCAAGTGGTATGATGTGCCGCCAAGCCAAAAATTCCCCATACAGGGTGCTTTTTTTTTACGTTTAAGGGAATGTGATGTCAGATACCACTACATGTAAAGTGCCTTTGGTCGTTATGCACTGATCTCAATCTAAACGCTAACTTTTATCATGTGTTAAGGGAGGTTCAAAGCGATTGCCGCTGAAGTCATGTATGATCTCATTAGTGCTTAGCATCTGACATTAACCGCATTATTTCGCAGCCCACTGAGACACTGTACATCATCATCCTTTCACGAAAAAAAAAAAAAAAAGATGCACTCATGTCATTTTAAACTTGTAGGACTGTCTTTATTATTGTGAGGAAAAAACATTCGTTAATGTAGAAATTAAAAACTGTTGTTATTTTGCTGGGTTCACACTAAATGTGAATTTAATTAAAGCTGCAAGCAGCGATGAAAGGGACCTCGCACCCAGGCTCATTGCCCCCAGTGGGCTTAGAATGAGAACAATGGACAATAATAATTTAACCTAATATCTACCAAAAAACCTGAGAAAAATCACAGATTTATGCCAAACTTCCTTCTGCCCGCAGGTGGCGCTATGACTGTGACTTAATTTTAGCATATAGATGTCTTCAGGAGAGGAATCTTATTGAACCTGTGAATTTTCAGGCAGATCAGAAATTGTGTGGTTGAGGTATAAGTACTTCCTCTTCCACTGCGAAGCACTGCAGTTTGTCAGTCCGCCACGGACACGCCCTTTGGCGAAAACTCTAGATCTTCACAATTTAACACCACAAAGGCCTTTGGATTAAACTAACGGAACATGAGTTTGATAGGATAAAATTTGTAGGAGGAGTTTGTTACAGTGTAAAACGTCAATTCCTGTTGCCAGCAGGTGGCGCTATAACTTTAACTGGACATCGGCATGTAAACGTGTTCAGGTCAGGACTGTTATCAAACCTGTGTGCCGTGTGTCAACTGACATGTGTGCCAGTTTTGGTGTTTGTGCATGAAATGTTGCTCAGGGGCTACTTTGTTAAATGTGCATAGGTGGCACTGTCACACCCACTTCCGAAACCTATAACAAGCGTAAATGTTCTAGTTCCACTTCTAGTATGTGTGCAAAGGTTTGTGAGTTTTCGGGCATGTTTAGACCCTCAAAAATACGATTCATCCTAGAGAAGAAGAATAGTAAGGAAGAGAGCAATTCCAATAAGGCCTACGCACCCTAAATATTTGCGGCGTGAGTAAATAACACACAAATAGAGGCAAATTCTTTGTGTTTGGTGTAAACCCAGCATTAGCGACACTGGTGGTCATTTAATGAACTGCAACCCGAAGTTAACTGATGCTCACACTCATGAAACAGTTAAGTAAGCATCATACGTTGGCGCCAACAGCCTAGTAGTTAAGTGTGTCGACATTAGGCATGGGACGATAACCATTTTCAAGGTTTACCACGGTTTAGAACAGTCAAAATTTTCTGCTATACCGTTTCTAAGGTATGTGTGTGTTTTTTTTTTTTTTTTTTACATTTTTTTAGGACATTATCTCCAGAAGAAAGAAAGAAATCTGTGTTTTTGAAACAAAAGAAGACAGCAAAGTCAATGATTCGTTTGAATATTTCAGCCTGACATGTTTGAAAAGTCTTTGTTTTCTACCCTGAAATTTTAAAAAAAGAACTTGTATTAGAGCAGTAATCCCAATACTCTCAAATCGTGAAGTTTTTGCGCAAGAATATTATACCGTCAGAATTGTATTCCCATGCCTAATTGACACATAATTAGTACTGAGGTGCTCACAGTGACCCGAGTTCAATTCACAGCTCAAGAGCCTTTACCCCTTTAAATTTCCTGTCAATACTCTGAACTGTTCTATTTATTAAAGATTAAAAACCCTGAAATGATGGTACATCTGCAATTTTGGCTGATCTTGATGTGAATTTTTCTGAGCCTCATTAAAAAAATAAAATGCCCACAAATCAGGAGTGGATCTATCCGAAGATCAACAAACAGAAATCATGTCATAATTTATTAGCAGAAAATATATTTTCTTTTCAAGCTGATAATGTTAATGATAACTATAGTTTTTCAACCAATAACTACAGTAACTATACATTTTTTATTTACTAAAACTAGACAAAAATTTAATAAAAAACAGATTTAAATGACAAAAATATACAGACAAAATGAAATTTATTTATTCATTTACCTTCAGCTTAGTATTTATCTATTAACTATTCCTGCACATGTTTTACGCAGCAGATACCCTTCCAGCCACAACCCAGTACTGGGAAACACCCATACACAAGAACATACAAGCTCAACAGAGAAATGCCAACTGGCTCAGCTGTGACTCGAACCTGTGACATTCTTGCTGTGAGGCCATAGTGATAACCACTGAGCCAACGTGCCTCCATGAAAATATTTATGGAGGGAAATTTAGACAAATTAAAGACTAAGGCTAAAACTGAATCAAAATTTACTGTCAAATTAGAACTGCATTAATCTGCCGCATCACATGATGATGTTACAGCACAAAATAGCCCTTTCAGCAATACCCTATACATTAAACACATCCATTTCATATGTCAAAACAAAAGAGAGGCTCTTGAAAACCCATAAACGTCAAGTCTTTCAGATTTCCCCAACAATAACGTCTCAATCCTTCCTATAAAACTCGTGAAGAGTCTTTAAAGGTCTCGTTTTTCGAATTCTCCACAAGCTATTCACACACTGCCAATAAAAGAGCGATTAGCACATGAAAATATTAACACAGCCTTCCACGTTTGCGTTCCACAGAAAAAAACACAGTCCTACAAGTCTGAAACAACGTTTCCCAAAGGAGTCTGCATGATCCGAGCAATTCACACTAACTGAGCTCATTATCCCAGTCAATCTGTCAAAAAGACCCCATCCAGGGTCTTGTGTGAGATGTGCACATGTGTATACAAGTTGAAATATGTACCAATCTGCATGGCGCAGAGGTCGTGGTGGGGTGAGGGGTGGACAAGAAGGAGAAATATGGCGGAATTCCAGCAGATCCAGACCGATTGCAGCAGGACTTGCCCTCTGAACCACAATGTGAACATGGGAGACCAATGTTTGCTAGGTGTCCGTATACAAGAGTGTGTTTTTTAAATTAAGACTGCTTTGTAAAGCAGTGAATGTGATGGTTTGCCTGTACTTTTTAAATCAGTGCGGAGACTTTACAGGACTGCTGTGAAAACTGAAGGGAGGCAGAACAGGGTGAAATACAGTGAGCAACATGAACTGTCAAAAGAAACAAAAAGACTATTGTGTTTCCTTCTCCAGAGAGAGGTTTTTTTCTTTTTCCAAGGGTTTGTTAAATTGTCAGACCACCAATCTAAGGGGCTTTTTTCCATTTACAGAAAGATATTATGCACTGTTTACCAATGTTACTTCTGCATCTTTGGTAAGAATGTACTGATATCGGTCACACTCTCCCTCTTTATGGTATAATTTTACACAGTGTCTGATCCGTGACGTTGAAATGTAAGTCTGAGGTGTCATTTTCAACAATTAAAGTGCCTTTTTTGAACAATGAGTCGCAGTGTGGTTCATCATTTCCTTGCTAACTTGAGCATCTTTTTTCTGTTGTTGGAAGACTTCAATCATGATTTCTACATCATTTGTTCTCCTTTTTTTTTGCCAGGCTTGCACACAATACCACAACTAAGCCACCCACATGGAGCTTTTGCACAAAAGATGTTTGCGCACACACATAAATATTTGCATTTCTACTGTGGTGGGGACTTCCCATTGACTTCTATTGTTTAATACTATGTTTTGGTGGTTTTACATTATTAAAGCCATTATACTATTATAGAAGCCATGTGTATATATATATATATATATAGATATAGATATAGATATACTTAATATTTCCCAAATTATGTTCATAAAGGCAAGGGAGTTTTCACAGTATGTCTGATAATATGTTTTCTTCTGGATAAAGTCTTTTGTTAAATTTTGGCTAGAACAAAAGCAGATTTATTATTCTTTTTAATTTTAAGGGCAAAATTATTAGCCCCTGTAAGATATGTATTTTTCGATAGTCTACAGAATAACCCATTGTTATACAATAACTTGCCTAATTACCCTAACTTGCCTATATAGTTAACCTAATTAACCTAGTTAAGCCTTTAAATGTCACTAGAAGTGTCTTGAAAAATATCTAGTAAAATATTATTTACTGTCATCATTGCAAAAATAAAACGAATAAATTTATTAGAAATGAGAAATTAAGTTTTTTAACTTAAGTTTAACTTTTATTAAGTTTAGAAATGTGTTGAAAAAAAAATCTCTCAGTTAAACAGAAATGGGGGAAAAACTAAACAGGGGAGTCAATAATTCTGACTTCAAATTTCGAAGCCTGTGGAATCAACTCCGGAATCAACTCTTAAAAATCAACTTATACAAGGTTACTGCATCAATTGCAGCTTTACATTGTGCAGTTCTCCTCTGGTTAGACAAATCATGTCAAAATATAATAGTTATCAGCCTACACTTTTTACAGCATATTTTATTTCGCTAGCTGAGATCATTTTTACGGCGCTAGTGGTTATGTGGTTTTTTGTCTTGTTTTATGCTTGAACAACTAAATAAATGCTTAAGTTTACTTAGCTGAATGTATTCAACATTGATGCTGTAAAATCAAACTTATGAAATTGAAAATAGTCTCATTAAGCTTTCACTGGAAGTTTCATTGGCTGGAAAACACTAGCTGTGCATAGAGCCCATTGAGCCCAGGGCTCCTGCCTGGTCAGTTAGCATGTAAGGGGGTCCGAGATCAGGTATTTCTCGAGAGTTACCCCTGGTAAAAGAGGAAAAGGTGGAGATGGTGTGGAAGGGGTGATTTTTCCAAAACAAAAATAAGGTAGTAGGGCAAAATCTGTCTATTTATTGTAGGCTTTGATCAATTCTGATTGGATTTTTGTTGATTACAGATGAGGGACCAGCTGCGATCAATCATATCACATGCACCTCTTGAAATGAGTTTGTGAAACTTCACTTAGTGGAAAAATCCTCTAAATGACCATATAATCATTTGAAATTTCGAAAATAAAATGAGCAGAATAGCAGAATATAATATATAATAGAAATTATTTAAATAAATAATACATTTTCTTTATATAATAGAACAAATATTGACACTGACACAATATACTAATATATATAAAATATACTAACACTGACACAATAATCTAACTATATAAAGAAAATAAACTGACACTATACTTAGATTCTAGAGAATTTTTAAGTGGTCTTTTTTTCCATAGCTGTATAAACCATTAATTAATTCAAGATCAATTAATTTTTCTTCAGTTTAGTTCCTTGTTTATCTGGGGTCGCCACAGTGGAATGAACCACCAACTTATCCAGCATATGTTTTACACAGTGGATGCCCTTCCAGCTGCAACCCATTACTGGGAAACACCCATACACTCACATTCACACACATACTCTATGAGCAATTTAGCTTATTCAATTCACCTACAGCGCATTTCTTTGGACTGTGGGAAAAACCCACGCGAACACAGGAAGAACATGCAAACTCCACACAGAAATGGTAACCGACACAGCTGAGGCTCAAACCAGCGACCTTATTGCTGTGAGGTGACCGAGCTAACAACTGAGCCACTGTGCCACCCTAATTAAAACATTTATTATTTATTTACATATTTATTTATCAATGTAGTATGCAAATGTAACATTTTCAAACAACAAATCTGACATAAAATCAGGAGTGTAGGTCTAAACTTCATCCACTAATCAGATTGAATTACCCGTTTCCAGATAGTTAGCAGACGTCTCTGTCATTTCACATGGATAGTTACGTTCTTCCTGTGCACTATGGCCAAGATAAACAAAGCAGCTAATACATAATATCACACTGCTACTTCTCTGCTTATTACCTTTAAGGACGTCCCTGAAGGGGGAATTTGTCAGACAAAAGCACACACAAGCGAACACACTTAAAGGCCCAGCTCTCATACGTCTTCCAGACAGCTCGCCGTGAGTCACCATCATTCTCACTTCTGCCC